AAATTAATGTATACAACTCCATTAAAGGCACTAGTTGTGCTACTTTACAAATACAGTTACAGACCCATACATCTAACAGATAGTTGTGCTACTTTAGAGAAAACACTTCCAGTGAGGAAAAAATATCCTTACCGTCTCGTAGTCGTACCACCGAGCATCAGGTAGATATGCCGACACCTTATCCACACCCTACAAAAACACAAGAACACAACACTTGCATGACTATCTATTTGCATATATATCCAGAGAAAGCGCCTCGAAGAAAGTGAGGATAGCCCTTTCTGCTATATATAACTGTAACTTAATTGTAAAAATGAAGATAAAATGTCCCCATCAAGGAAACATGTTCTTAAATTGCCTATCATCCAATACAAAGTTTCCACACTGGCCTTGTGACATTTCAGTCTACAATACTATGATGTAAGAGACGATGGGAAAGACGGCATCAAGCAACAACTGATAGGTGACAGCCTTTGATGGCTTAAGGTGGTGGACAGACGGGGGCAATCAATAGACGAGCACCAAGCCTTTGATAGCATTGTCACTTCCCTGTTCTTTGTGACAGTGCAGAACAGAGGGAGAGAGAGAGAGACATTCACAGGGGGCACAGCTAAAGAAAGCGCAAACTACAGGTCCTTCGCAAAAAAATTCTATATTGTGAAATACAGTGTGACAACTGCACAGGCCAAGGCCTGTCATGGGCACTGATGGCAAACGCATCTCCCTTCCAATTACTCTCTCACCTCCTCTCTCTCTCTCTGTCTCTCTCACGCTGTCCTTTTTGTGGACTGTTAAGGTCTGCATTAGGAACATGAAATAGGGGATTCAGGAGGACAAGAAGAATAGTGGCGAGGCATATTTAAACAATGACAAATAACACCAAATTATTAAATTTGAGAAGTAAAAGAAAAAAACAGGACATAGTAAAAGAAGAAAGACTAAAATATGATCAAATATATAAAAATAATGGCCTGCTAACCAAATTAAATGACTTAACACCCCCTTAAGGGCCACAGATTCACACTTTGACATAAATCACCAGTCACAACTGCTGCACAGCCTGTGGGATGACAGCCTGGGGAAATGGATGCTCCCCCTATACCTCGTTTTCTGGTGTCGGATTTGCTCGCGGCTCCTATCACTCACACCACTGACTAACGGGAAGGGACTGCAGGACTTAGCATGGCTGCTAACTGCGTTTGATAGGGAAACAGCACGAAGCCTGTATCCTTATTTGGAGCACTGAATCTCAGCTAGCTATAAGGTAAGATTTGATCAGGTGAGCCAAAGATTCATACTGGCAGAATGATCAGATGGCAGCTGAATTAAATGAGAGCGGCAGAGAGAGAGAGAGAGAGAAAGAGAGGGAGAGTATGAGACACAGAGTGAAAGAGAAGTGGGATGAAATGAAATGGGATCACAAGGGTGAGTAGACAGCAGCTGATTAAGAGAATGCAGATGAGACGAGGGAGCCAACGTTTGATGAAAGGATGAGCTGAAAAGAAAAAGGGAGAAATGAGAGTAGAAGTATGGATGAAGACCAGAGGGGATGACAGAGATAGAGTGCAGGAGATCTCTTCAGTTTATCACAGAGATCAAGGTTAAAGCATTGATTGATCTGCATGATGGAGAAAGCATCATTAGAGAAATGGATAGGCAAGTAGACAAAGGAATAAATAAAGAACAGATAGAGTATAGTAGAGAATAGTTAAAAAGGTGAGTGTAGAATATCAAGGGTTGTTAAAGATCATCGTTTGACCCTTGATGATATCTCTTTATATTGTCCTTCAGAGCATGACACAGCCGTCACATATAGTGAGCATACTCTTGCCACCCAAATCCTTTTGAAATTGCATACAAGAGGACAAAAACACTTCGACGACACTGCAATATGACCCTTCTTAAGCTGATTAATCACATGAAAACAATTTTCATGGTAAAAGAAAATTTACTGTTTTTGTCTAAACAGACAGAAACAGGGACATCCGTTAGGGGCTGGGCTCTGTACCTGAACATTATTTGCATGGCATTGTTTTCCAAAATGGTGAAACGAGAATTTAGACCCTTTTGTTAAGTAAAAGTCATAACCTTACATAAATGATAGTACAAAAGTTTTAACGTCCACGTATGCATAAATAACTATGCAGACTGGTCAGGATCATACACTATATTGCCAAATGTTTTCACTTACACATCCAAATGACTGAATTCAGGTGCTCCAATCCCCTCCATGGCCACAAGTGGCCACCTATGCATGCTGACTAACTCTACAAATATTTGTGAAACGATGGGTTGCTCTAAGAAGTAAAATCCAGTGTACTGTGAAAGGATGCCACCTGTACAGCAAGTCCTGTAGTGAAATTTCACTCACTATGAAATATTACACAGTCAACTGTTAATGGATTTAAAACAAAGTGGAACCAAATGGGAACTACAGCAATTCAACCATGAAGCGGTAGGCCATGTAGAATCACAGATGCTGAGGTGCACAGTGTGCAGAGGTTGCCAACTTTCTGTAGAGTAAATCGCTACTGACCTCCAGACTTCATGTGGCCTTCAGATTATCTGTTATAGAACAGTGTGTAGAGAGCTTCATGGAATGGATTTCCATGGCTGAGCAGCTACAGCCAAGCCTTATATCACCAAGCGCCATGCAACATATCAGATGCTGTGTTGTAAAGCATGCTGCCACTGGACTAGGGCGCATTGAGAAGTGTTCTCTGGAGTAACGAGTCACACTTCTGAGTCTGGATTTGGTGGTTGTCAGAGACCAATACTTGTCTAACTGCGTTGTGCCAACATGACTGCTCACCATTGCACAAAGCAAGGTCCATAAAGACATAGATGAGCAGGTTTCGTGTTGAAGATCTTGACTGGTCTCCACAGAGTCCTGACCTCAACCTAATAGGATGAATTAGAGCACAGACTGTGAACCAGGCCTCCAACATCAGTGTGCGACCTCCCAAATGCTCTTCTGGAATAATGGTAAGCTCTCAAACCTTGTGGAAAGCCCCCCCAGAAGAGTTGAAGCTGTTATAGCTGCAAAGGGTGGGCCGACATCATATTAAACCCTATGGATTAAGATGCGACATCACTCAAATTCATATACGTGTGAAGCCAGATAAGCAAATACGTTTGCGTATAGAGTGCACGTTTAAACGCGTGACCTCTATAGGTCAGGCTCTGGAAGAT